AAAAAAAAAAAAAAAAAAAAAAAAAGCGGGGGGGGGCGCCCCGCCCGAAAAAAAAACGGGGCGGGGGGCACAACCCCAAAAATCGGGACGGGCCCGATTTTATCGGGACGTCTGGTCACCCTAGTGGTAGCTGCTGCTTTTTAGGAGCTATAATATTTTCCTGCTTGCGCTGAGTCATCCCTGTCCTACCCCCTTATCTCCCCTCTCCAGCCTATGCCCGCAGAGGTGAACAGGCTTGTGAGATAGCCATACTAGGCACCACAGCCTGGGAAAACCGCAGTCAGGAGGGAGAGACGCGGGTGTCTCTGCTCAGGGGAGTGGACAGCTGGGGAGCCAGAAGCCGTGATGGACTCTGGAGGGGAAACACGGGTGCAGTTGCTCTGAACCGTGAGAGTGGGGAAAAATCTGCTGATCTCAGATGTATGAATCTATCTCCCTTCTCCATGTACATGCAGCCCAATGGGCGGTGAGTGAAACCTTTTGCTCTCCCCAGGACTGCTGGGGCAGGGACTGTCTCTCGCTGTGTGTCTGTGCAGCGCCCGGCACAATGGGGCCCTGATCTCAGCTGGGGCAGGGCCTGTCTCTCCCTGTTTGTCTGTGCAGCACCTGGCACAACAGGGCTCTTATCTCAGCTGGGGCAGGGACTGTCTCTCCCTGTGTGTCTGTGCAGCGCCCGGCACAACGGGGCCCTGATCTCAGCTGGGGCAGGGCCTGTCTCTCCCTGTTTGTCTGTGCAGCACCTGGCACAACAGGGCTCTTATCTCAGCTGGGGCAGGGACTGTCTCTCCCTGTGTGTCTGTGCAGCGCACGGCACCACGGGGCCCTGATCTCAGCTGCAGTCTCTAGGTTATATTGTAACACAACTAGCTATTGTTATTAACAGATACATTTGCAATGGGGGCAAAGGAGGTGCTCAAATATTACAGCCACAGGAGCCTAGATCAATAGAATTTGTAGCAGCAAGAGGTGCTAAGGGCTTGAGTAAGGGACACAGACCTGAACGATCTTCATTCCCAGGTGCCTGTTTAAGGGGGAAAGTCGCACTGACACCGCTGAACAGCCCCCCCACCCCCATAGCCGCCGTGGGAAGGGAAATACGTGGTAACCGCTACATGACGGGTACGTCTCCAGAGGAGATCACATGGCTCAGATACTTAAAAGGAGCCTGTGGAGTTTGAGAATGTGGTGGGAGAAGCGCAGCCCACTTTAGCTTTACCCTTATCTGGCAGCAGTAGTAAACTGTTATCCTCTGGGTGGCCCAATTGCTGGAGGGGGAGGTGACACACGCTTTGCCAGTACACTGCATGCTCCTGGCCCAGGCTTAGGAAAAGGCTAGGCTGTTATCTCAGCCTGGAGGCCGGGGGCAGGGGGTCACGGTGGACAAAGCAACGCAGCGCAAGCTCTCAGTGTGACGCTACGTCGGCTGTGATGCGCGGACTCCGGGCAGGGGAACAGCGAGTGGTGCGGTGATTTGACCTCTGCGAGGTTCGTTGGTGAGAGCACTACTGGAATCCCACACCCAGATTGGCTGTCTGTGTTGTAAAACCGATGGTGAGAAATGGGAGGGAATTGCTCAGCAGATGACCACAAATGTGATTCAAGGGCTGGAGAAAACAGAGAGACGTCGAGAACGCCGTCGGTTTAGCTTATTAAAAAGATCAAGAGGTGACTTGATCCCAGTGTACGAGTACCTTCGTGGGGAGAAAAGACCAGGTATCGAAGGGCAGAAAGGCATAAGCAACACCAACGGCTGGAAGCTGAGGCCAGACAAATCCCAGTTGGAAGAAATAAGGTGCAAATGTGGAGCAGTGAGGAGGATGAGCTATTGGAACAAAGGACCCAGGGAAGCAGTGGCTTCTCTTGATGTCTTCAAATCCAGACCGGACACCATCCTGGAAGATGCTTGAGTCAAAGACAAGCTATTGGGCTCAGTACAGGTGGAACTGGGTGGAATAATCTGGACTATACAGGAGGCCAGATCGGATGGTCTAATAGTCCCTGCTGGCCTTAAAAATCTATGCCAGCGGTGTGGGGACTGTCAGGCGTTGGAGGCTATTAAGGCCAGGGGAAGCAATGACTATGGGGATCGCATGGCAATACATGCATTTAAAACAACCCAGGGAGAGGGTTCGGATGGGGCAATGCAAGTTGCATTAGGTCTATCACACGGCCCATTCCTGATGGATTTAAAGGGAAAGTGCACAATTAAAATAACTGCCCTTGTCTTCCTGGTAGGTGGAGAGACAACAGTCCCGCGGCTGATTGGCAACACGATGAAGGAAGAGAGGCCACAAGCAACTAGAGATCCTGGTAAATATTTTTGTCTTGGTTAAGAGAGGTTTCAGAGCGACCTGGTGATGTGATTTGTAGAGGGACCAAAAAGGGGCGGGCGGGAGTTGATGCCCTTTTTGATGAGCTAAAGGACTGAAAAGGGTTAGTATGTTTGTTTCATGCTTGTTTTTTTACATTAGTGAGTCAAATCATTTCTACCCTGGAAGGCTTTATGGCCAACTGAAGAACTGGGGTAGTAAAAGGCTGTCAATCCAGAAAACTGTGTGCAGTACCCATCAGCCCCTCTCAAAAATTAATATGGGAGAACCAGACTGGTTCAGCGAGGGTGAAGGGCCTGGGAAAAGCCTCCTATGAAGAGTAACTGAAAAGATTAGGGTTGTTAGAGAGGATACTGATAAGAGGGGACAGGATAAAAGGCTATCAAACAAGAGATGGGATAGAGAAGGCAAATCGGGAGTGTCTGTTCTCCCTGTCTGCTAGTACAACAAGGGGATGTTCAGTGAAATTAAAAGGTGGCAAATTCAAGACTGATCAGAGGAAATACTTTTTCAGACAATGTGTGATTAAACTGGGGAACTCACTGCCGCAGGAAGTTATTGAGGTCAAAGACTAGAAAGGATTCAAGGAGGGAATGGATGTTTTTATGGATAACAAGAATATCAACAGTTATCTCAATTAATGATAAAGATTTTGGAAGGGATATAAACCCTCTCTAATTTCACCTCTCCTGGCCCTTGGAGTCTCCTAACCTGGCAAAGTGCGGACTGGCACCGTCTGTGTGGAGTGGAGATGCCAGGTATGTGGAAAGCCAGTCCCTTGGAGACTTGGAAGGGAGAGAAGCAATGATGGTTGTATTCAAAACAGCTCTGTAGACATGGAGGGAGCAGGATGGGTGCTTGGACATCTCACAGGGTGTTAGGCCCTGCATGGAGCAGAAGGGAAAGTACTTGGTTGTATGAATGGACAGTCTCTTTTGCATCATGGTAAGTGGAGAGGTGATTGTCCACATGCTCCCTGTCCTGAGAGCGGTGGAAGATAGGATAACAGACACAAGTTAATAATTCTGTGGATTACAGTAGCAACCTCAGTTGAGCTCCATTGTGCCAGGCACTGCACAGACACACAGCGAGAGACAGTCCCTGCCCCAGCTGAGATCAGGGCCCCGTTGTGTTGGGTGCTGCACAGACACTGAGGGAGAGACAGTCCCTGCCCCAGCTGAGATCAGGGCCCTGTTGTGCTGGAAGCTGCACAGACACACAGTCCCTAACCCACAGAACTTGTAATCTAAATAAACAGACACAGGATGGGGAGGAAAGCAAAGACCGAGAAAGGAAGTGATTTTGACCACACAGGTCATTAGCAGAGTCAGGAACAAAACCCACATCTCTTGAATCTGAGGACAATGCACCATCCATATTGGCCCTCAGTGGCTTAAATATGAGATTTCACAAACATTTATAACTTGCCTCGGAAAGGAGATAATAAATTGAGGTTTTGCACTTTTATTTGCTTCGTTAATATATACTAAGATATACTAAGAAGGAACTAATTTCTTTATGATGACTAAGAATTCAGGGGATTTTTCTACCCTGAAAATCTCTATGGAGAACTGGCAGGATTAAGACCCCAGAAATACTAAGGAATTTGGGCCAAGATTTCCAAAAAGACTAAGGATCTTGGGTGTCTACTGGATGCTCCACTTAAGACTACAGCTGGCTGGAAAATGCTGGTCTTCCCCCTCTCCCCCTGCAGAAAAATTCAATGTGAACAAAAAAAAAAATTGTCATTAAGATTCCAGCTGAAAATTTTGACTTTACATCAAAAACTGAAAATTGTTGACCAAACCCCAAACATTTTGGGCCCAAAACTCAAAACTTTGTTTCCAGTTTTCCAACTATCCCCCCTCCCCATTCCCCGCCCCAAGTAAAGCAGACAAAGTGTGTGTGAAAATTTTCATTTTGGTCAAACCCCCAAGCCTTCGATTTTCCTTTGAGAAAAAGTTTGGATGGAATTTTTCCCCGGGTTTTGCATAGCTGAAACCCTGTAGAAGGTCTTGATTATCAGAAAGTGCTAAAAAATACACACACAACAGGCCACTTCAAGAGGTCTCCAAGTTGGATGTCCAAAAATTGAGGTTCCCCAAATAACTAGTCATTTTTAAAAGTCCTGGACTTGAGCAATTAGACAGGAAGGGTGGCTGCTCCTGCTTTTAAATCTAAAAGTCCCAGATTCAATCCTCATACATGATCCAACTGTGGATGCCTTTGAAAAATTGGCTAATTCATTATGTGTCTAAACGGGAGCTGAGCGATTGAAAATCTTGTCCCTATGGTGGCTTTATACCCTCTATCACCGAGCTGGTCAGAATTTTTCAGTGGAACAGTTTATGTCGGAAAATGCAGTTTCATTGAAATCAACACATTTCACAAAACTCTCTCCATTTTGACAACATGTGATGTGAAAGTTTGAAAATGCTTTGTTTTGCCTTTATCATTCTATTTTTGTTTTGGCTTTTATATTATAATCATTTCAATATGAATTATATAATATATGAATTTGATATTATACCTAATATTAAAACATTATATGATATTTCAATATTATCAAAAGAAAACATGGGAAATGTTGATACTGACTTTTCATCTCTAATCGGGATGATTTTTTTTAAATACCAGAATTTCTCCTGGAACGGAAATTCCAGATTTTGAGCATTCTGCTCTTCTAAGACAAATCCTGGGCTGTCCCGGTAGCTCTTAACTAACTTAGTGATGGCCATGAAAACCATTCTCCCCATCAACCACCATATGGCCCCAAAGTCTCTAGTCTTCCAAAGGTGGTTAGTAGAGCTGGCGGAAAGTTTTTTCATTGAAAAGTGGCCTTTTAAAAATAAATACATATTTTCACAAAAAGTTATCCAAATTCATCATTCGTTGTGCTTTCGTTTTCAAATTTTTGCATTTTTTTAATTAAAACCATTATCTAAAAAACTGGAGGGGGGCGGGGGGCTGTGAGTGTACCAAAAACCCAGTTCTCCTTTTTTTCAATAATTTTCTAAAAAGGGGAAAAAATTATTTCTTTAATTGGAAAAAAAAAAGTGGGTTTTCAAACTCTTCCAAAATGAAAGTAACTTCAAAATTGTTTGCAAAATTAGTTGTTGACGATTCACCCACCCTTAGCATGTGGCCCTAAAAGATAAGCAGGGTGTTTAAAGCAGTAGCATTGGAACACGAGGCCAGTCAGTCTGTGCAGGAGAGGTGGTGAAATATACAGAGCTAGATGTACAAGGCGCTGGTGAGACCTCATTTGGAGTACTGTGTGCAGTTCTGGTCTCCCATGTTTAAAAAAGATGA